AAACCTTAAGAAATGAACATAGTCAGTTGTCCCTATCCAACCCATCTACCTCCCACCCCGCTCTCCTATTCCTGCCTGAACAGGCAACTGAGTCTCAGACTTCTGAAGAATTTCCTTCCTCCTCTCTCTCAGCTCTGTCCTCATTGTTGTGTCCATCGCTTGACTAATAATCACCCCCACAATTTAACAGGGCAAATGAATGCCTGAGTTTCAACACAGGGAAGAACCGTGGGCATCAGCAGGCCACGAGTCAATGAGGATGGCTCATCTTCCAATGCAATTCATAAACTCCTTGCCGCAGGTGTGCTTCCTCTGGGAATGCCTTCAAACCATGTACTGCATGGGCTGTGTGTGTCCCATACATTTACAGTACAATTCTCATTTACAGAAAAAATACGTCATAACTTTCCCAAAGACTTAAGAGTACTACATATATGAAAACAAATCTACATATCCGTTTCCAGAGGTCATCAATGCTTAAAAGGTAGTACCAACATTCTATTTCTTCTCTTAATAGTTTTTACACTAGGAAGAAATGTTTTTTAAACTTGAATGTCATCTGAACACACTGGTTGCTAAATTAGGAACCAATACTTATATGCAAATTCAAATTCCAAAAAAATACCTTTTTTTCTTGACTTTCCAATTAGTTTTATTTTCAAAGTCTCCTCTTCCACCCCTCATTCAAAGAGGCACAGCACTGAATTACTGAGGAGGACTAGAACTAAGGGCTATATACGTGCATCCCTGAGTTGTCCCCACAGGCACGATGTCCCACCCTCCCACTATAACCTTAGCAATCAAGTTTTCATCAGCAGGACATGTGGGAGGGGAAGGACATTAGAACTAAGGAATCTTTCCTTGGTACCTACTGCACCCCAATTTCTCTGGGCCTAATCCCTCTCTGCCTTTCACTGCCCTCTTCCTCAAAGGGGTTTGAGAAGAGAAGGAGAGCAGTCAATTCCCAGTGTCCAAGGTTGGGGCAGATGCTGGCATTGTGCTACATCAGAGGAGGGGAAGAAACCTTAAGAAATGAACATAGTCAGTTGTCCCTATCCAACCCATCTACCTCCCACCCCGCTCTCCTATTCCTGCCTGAACAGGCAACTGAGTCTCAGACTTCTGAAGAATTTCCTTCCTCCTCTCTCTCAGCTCTGTCCTCATTGTTGTGTCCATCGCTTGACTAATAATCACCCCCACAATTTAACAGGGCAAATGAATGCCTGAGTTTCAACACAGGGAAGAACCGTGGGCATCAGCAGGCCACGAGTCAATGAGGATGGCTCATCTTCCAATGCAATTCATAAACTCCTTGCCGCAGGTGTGCTTCCTCTGGGAATGCCTTCAAACCATGTACTGCATGGGCTGTGTGTGTCCCATACATTTACAGTACAATTCTCATTTCCTTCAGCTGGTTAGATTCCTAGGTGGGGCTTTAAAATCAAGCAAAACAGCACAGAATATCTGCAGCTTTATCATGTCAGAAGTTCTAATTAAATAAATCTCTTCGCTGGATTAGTCTCATTAATTTAAAATAGAGCCTGTGCCCATAAAGGCCACTTCTGTTTTTCATTAACCAATACTGCATTGACAATGGGAACTAAACAGAACCTTGTATTCAAAATGGAACCATAAGTTAGTTAGGTCTTTAATTATGGTAATCTGATTTTTCAAATGTATATCCTCTATAATTATGGCTAAATATTCTTAGTAATATTACATAGAAGTTAATTGTAGGAAACTTTGTTCCTCGTAATGTTTTCAAATAATGGAATTTGACTCTGCTATCACCCACTAGTGCCCTTTTACCTTGAGGAGAACTGTATCGTGCCTCATTGCTATGTTTCAGGTCTCTCTAGCGTGCATTTCATTTATAAATCACCAAGTTTTACAAACATTTCTGAAGTGACTGTAGAAGGAGTCATTACGGGAACCATTTTTAATGAGGTAGAGACAGAAAACTGTAACAAATGGAGTAGGCACTGAGATCTCTACCCAATGGTCCTGAGTGATAGTCATTATACTATACCAACAAAATCATTGAACTTAATCCCATTAATTCAGCAACATTTAATGACCCACCAAGCCCTGTACTAAATATGAAATATAAATATGGCAAATGCAACAGGGTCCTTGCCTTTGGTGAGCCCCCAGGACAGAAAAGAACTAGAAAATCATAGACAATATATTAGGCATTGCAAGAGAAGTAAGTGAAGGGATACCCAGAGAGTTGCCAGAAGACATTCCTAACTCAGAGCAGAACTGGGGCTACAGGGCATGAGCCTGCTAAGAGTTTCAGATTAAATGTTAGGTAAGAAATTGTTATCCTGGAGGTCTGAGATCCTGAAACAAGTCAGATCATGTGGGGCAAGAGCAGGACAAAGTTCCAAAAAGAAGGAGTAGAATAAGCAAAGGCCCAGAGACAAGGGAGAGCCAAGTGTGCACAAGTTGCTTCAAACAGTCCAGCAGCACTGGGGTAGAGGCTGTGGCAGTGAGGCCAGCTGAGCAAAAGTTAGATTCAAAAGCAAGTGCATTGGGCCAGCAGATGGCCTAATGGTTATGTTGCTGGAATCCCACATAGTCGACCACAGTTTGAGTTCCAGACCCTGCAGCTTAAACTCACACTGGGCGCGTGTGTGTGTATGTCCACAATCCCAAGAGGAGAATGGAGGAGAAGGGATTGCAGCATGGCCATTCCCCCTGGGAGATGATTTCCTGTTCTGTCTCTGTCTTTCTGGGGAGCACACACATCCTATAGCAAAAACCTTTCTTAAATAAATGAATAATAAATCAAATAAAAGCAAGTGCATTGACTCACTTATGCATTCATTCACTCAGATAGAAGTATCTGCTGCCTAATTTGTGGCTATTTAGGGAATTCAAATGATGATCTGGGGGCCCCTATGGAATATTTATTCTAACAGTCACAGAATACACAGTAAACATAATACATGGAAGAGATATGTAAAAGAAACAGAAGCTCTAGGGACCAGCAGACGGCGTAATGGTTACGCTGCTGGACTCCCATGTGGTTGGCCACAGTTCAAGCCCCAGACTCAGCAGCATAAAACTCATACTGGGAGCCTGTGTGTGTATGTGCCCAAAATTCCAACAGGAGAATGGAGGAGAAGGGATTGCAGTGTGGTCATCCCCTGGGGAGGTGATTTCGTGCATAGTCCCTATAGCAAAAATCTCTCTAAAACATACATGAATAAATAAAGTCACTGGATACAAAATAAGAAGTATTCAAGGAAGTTTTATAAGGGTGTTACCATGTTTTTAAAATTTTTCTTGTAAGGATTTTGCCATAGGGCACATATACTTGCCAGAGAGTATATGACTGGAACACACAAAGTATTCGATCAAAATACAGTGAAATATACCTAATTATATTTCATTAAATAATTTTATTAAGAATTATCACAAAGATGATTACATAATAAAACTTTGCTTATTCATGTTTTAACTTATTTCCAAACCTTTGAATAAATGCAGAATCATTTTCACTCTCTAAACAAGCTGAAGAGAAACAAATCCTTTTAAATGTGTATTACAAGCACACTTTCCATTTTACTTTGATCTTTTTATTTTATTTTTTAAATTTTCCTAGGGCAAACTGCCACATAGAAAAAAATTATATTATATCAAACTTAAGTTTTCTCCTTTGAAAATTACTGCAGATTTAGCAGACTAGATGGGGTCTAGGAGGACGATGAGATTAAAAAAGCATGCATGTGTGTTCACAGTAGGTAAGTTCCCTTACCTACTTCTTCTAACGAAGAACAGAGCCTACCCAGAGAAGTCCATAAATGAATAGAAATACAACTTAATACAAGCAATATGAATGAAAAATAAGTTAAAACAAATCAATTAATCAATGTCACTTAACTCAAATAAGATAATTACACAGGCTGAAACCGACTTGAAATAGTTATGCAGCCCAGTATACACTAAAGTGTTTCCAGTCAAGAGCAATAATTGCAGAGTAACTGAAAAGATCAACAAAGCCTGAAAACAGAGTCAACCTTTGGGGAGCAGATGTAAATTAAGAACATAAAGGTAATCAGGACTTAAAGACTAACTCATTTTATACAATTGTAAGGGCACTTCAAAAAGTTTGTGGAAAGGGGACTAATAGGTGGTATAATAGTTAAGTTGTTGGATTCCCACAGGGCTAACTGCGCTTGAACTCCAAGCCCTGCAGCTTAAAGCTCATGCTAGGTGAGTGTGTGCGTGTGTGTGCGTGTGTGTGCATGTGCACGCACCCAAAATCCCAAAAGGAGAATAGAAAAGATTGCAGCATGGCCATCCCCCAGTGGTGATTTCTGACTTTGTCTTTCACTGCCTCTCTGTGTCTCTATCCAGCAAGCACATGCACCCTATGACAAAAGTCTTAAAAACAAACAAACAAACAAACAAAAATAAAAAAACAAGTGTATAGAAGGGGCCAGCAGGTGGTATGGTGTTTGAGGTGCTAGACCTCCACATAGCTGAGCACAGTTGAATCCAGGACCTGGAGGCTTGCTTTCTCACTTTCCCTCTCTTTCTCTTCCTTCTCTGTCTGTTGAGCACACATGCTTTATAGCAAACTAAAAGATAATAGTAATAATAAAATTAAATTAATTTTTTTAAGTTCACAGAAAAATGAAATCAAAGTGCAAGATTCTTTTGGCACCAAAAAATTTGAAATCCATGCATAATTTGTTCCCCAATACACATTTTCTATGACTACTGGGGAGAGCTGCTTGTCTTAGAACACTTTAACAAGAAAATCTGTGTAGGTCAGAATCCAGTATTAACATTAGGCGAGTAGAGAAACCACAAAGAAGTTTACAAAGGATCTACAAGATTATAATCATGTAGTATCTGAAAATCACATCAATATAATTTGTGATAAAGACCTAAAATGTCCTTGAAAAAATTAATTTTATATACCATTTTTAAAAATCTAATCAAATTCAAAATAAGCAAGAGTTTTGTTAAGATCAAAGATACCTTACCATTCATTTCCTTGTGAAGGGTTTTCTAGTAGTACTCGGATGATGTATAATAAGCAGCTTAATAATTTGAGAGAAAAATTGAACAGGCGTATTCTCAGACCTTTAAAGAAAACAACAAAAGTTTGATTTTCATTCAAACGTAGCACACAAGAGACCAAAAAGAATTGTCAAAAACATCAACTTTAAGTACAGTACTTAAATTGTATTTAGAAACTACAATACTATAATTGCCTGAACTCTGAAGTTCTTGGTAGCTGAATTTTAATGACCTGAATATTGAAACAAAAAGTGAGTTAGACAGAATGTATGAACTGTAATGACACTGAACAGGAGCTGCTGCGAAAATATCAAGGTTGGAACATTCAGCAGTTGTAATATTTGTGTCCAAGCAAAGTGGATTCAAGTATGGTTACAGATATAAGCACTTCCTCTATCCGTGGATTTTAAGACCAAGTTTAGCCAGCTAGCAATTCTAGCTGCTTACCAACTGGCAGGATAAGATAGAAATTTTGTACGTTGAGAGCACATAACAGATTTTATTATAGAGAAATTGTAATTATATTTACATAATTGTATGTTATATAGAATGTTAATTATATAGTTACAGTATGTAAATTAATTACAGTGAAATTGTAATAGCATATTCTGAAAAACACATACACACATTGTTTCTCTGACTCTCTTTCATTCACACACACACACACACACACACACACACACACACACACATATACACTCCACATTTTGAGTTTGACCAATTGAACCTTATTTTTAACTAAGTTAAACACCAAGGTTAAAATTTTGTGAACTTCCATGTATGCATCTTTTAAACTGTGCACGTCCCAACTATACAGCCTGTAATTCTTAATGATGATGAAGAAGCATAATTAAGATTAAGGAAAACATGCGTAAGTCTGATTACTGGGACCATTACCTTTCCTACAATTACCCGGTGGTATCTGATTCATGCCTTATAATTAAAATTTTGAGAAAGGCCTTCCTATAATTATTACTTAATAAAATCTGGAACTCAAATGTCACTTGTATTTTTTTTTTAACTCTGCTGTATATGAGTGTACCTGTGATAACATTTCTTAACTGTAAAAAGGTTAATGCTTATTAATTGTGTAATTTTTTTCCCTAGGCTTTCCTATTAAAATGCTGAGTACATGTTATGGGTTAGCTTCTTTATAAAATCCTTTGAATTATTAATGAAATTGCTCTGGTTTTATAGAAATGGGTCTCCTCCAATGACTGCGTAGTCAAAAGCTGACAGCTGGTGAAAGATTCAAACAATGCAGCCATCTTTTCTGGCCTGGAAAGATAGTATTGCTATTATTAAAATCAAGAAAACCTTCTATTCAGACGATGTGGTCCATTTAGGAAATATTTATTGATGGGGCTGCCTTGGAAATGCTAAACAACCAGGTTAGAAAGGCAGCTAGCCTTCCATTGAGAATATCTGACCAGTGAGACTTAAATTGGGAAATAGCCCCTATAGTCAGTATTTGGATAATCCCCACGAGCCAGGCCTCTTTCTTTGAACTCTACCTACAGAGATTACTTTGGACCACCTCAAGAGAACTGAGGTGGCCAAAATTCGCAGGCTTAAACCAATCTAATGTAGACCTCTTCATTTCTCATTGACATCTGAAACAATAATCATGTGAAAAATAAGCACATTGGCTTATTAAATAGGGCTTTTTAAAATATGTAGTACTGGGGCCAGCAGACGGCAGAGCAGTTATGTCCCACATGACTGTCTGCAGTAGGCATTTCAAGACCCAGACCCGATAGCTTGAAAATCACACTGGGCGTGTGTGTGTGTGTGTGTGTGTGTGTGTGTGTGTGTGTGCGCGCGCGCGCACGCGCGCCCAAGATCCTGGGAGGAGAATGGAAAAGAAAGGATTACGGCATGACCATTCCCCGTGGTGTGAGGGGTGATTTCTGACTTTCCCTCTCACTGTCTCTGTTTTACTGGACAGTGCATGTGCCCTAAGGCAAAAACTTTATTTATTTATTTGTCTGTTTGTTTGCTTGTTTGTTTATACATGTAGTATTACAGGGAGGCAGCAAGTATCACTGACCATCTTTCTACCTTGAGCAGGCTTATAATTTCACGTCCTTCTGTAGTTCCAAGATTTCTCAAATTTTCCCAGAGAAAAGAATCACTTGAATATTAAACTCTGAGGCTCACCCTACACTTCGTGATTGAAAATCTCCAGGTGAAGGATCATAGGAATCTGTATATTCAGAGTGCTCTGAACAGCCCTCATTATTAGGCAGCTTTGGGAAATACTAAGCTCTTCCTTCACTAAATGGGACAATTACTCCCTGTTGTGGCCAGGCAGAATTACCAGAGCCTCTCAAGACACAGTTTTAAATATACCTCACGTTTTAACTGTGAGGACCCCTTATTTAAATTATTATTGTTTAAATTAACCTCAATGTTTCAACTAACCCAGAGTGTCCACTCAGAAGTCTTATTGATGTGGGAATTGGAGAATTAAAAGTGTTCAGGAGGCATTAACACCACTGCATGTAACATCTACGGTTTTGTAAATTTTTACTGCCTGGGAGACAAGATTACCAGTTTCATTCTTCTACTATAGAAAGTCTATTACAGAATATTCCACAGCTGAAAATTTAAGCAAATATGTACAAACACATAGAGAGGAGAGTGAAATAAATGACTTACTTGATCTCTGGTTTTTAATAAAAAATAATTTTAGTCTTTCTTTAAATGTGTTTTCATTCATATAGAATTCAACTTGTACCCTGTGAACAAAAAATAAAACATACCTATTTATGCACAGTCAATCATACTTTTGTCTTTATAAAGATAAATGTATATAAACCGATTTTGGTATTCTCTAATTAACCTATAGATTACTGTAAGAGAAAATAAAATAAATTATTTGATTTAATGCATTATGTTTGTGAGTGAATTCCTTGTTGCAGCAAATGAGAACTGAGTAAAATACTTTTGGAAAGAAGAAGTTACTTTCTAATTTTAAAGATACAGTCAATTTAAATATTATATGTAGTAAAGTCAATTACCTGTATAACTGAACATAATGACTAGTCAAAGATTCAAACAATGCAGCCATCTTTTCTGGCATATTTCAAACAGCAATAGGTTCAAAGTCTTCAGTATGTATAATGAAATAAGTTTAAATCAAGGCTTTCCAAATTACATTCCCATGATATCAACCGGATGCTTGAGAAATTAAGTTTGGTCAACACCCAAATCTACTGATTGAGAATCTTTAGAAGCAAGGCCTGAAAAATCTATTGTTAACAAGCCTTTCACCCCACCTAAAGACTGAGAAACCATATCATATAACAGTTCACCTCATTTATATATTTAGGCTCATGTTAAACTATATAGAGATCAGGGGCCAGCCAGCGGCATGGTGGTTAAGGCAGTAGGATCTCAAATGGAAGAGTGCACCAAGTCCCAATCCAATGACTTGAAAAAACATGTGGGCACATGTGTGTACATGCCCAAAATACAGAAAGGAGGATAGAAGAAAAGGGATTGTGGCATGGCCATCTTACCCCCTGGTAGGGGTGATTTCTCTCTCTCTCTCTCTCTCTTTCTCTCTCTCTCCGGTGAGTGCACACATCCTATAGCAAAAACTAACAAACAAAAAAGAAAGATAACAAAAGAGAGAACATAAAAAAAGAGAGATAAGCAAAGGGGTAGCAGTGTCTAATAATAATGGTAAAGTTACCACAAATATATTATAAAGCAGACAATGAATGGATTAAATATTATAAATGTAATCTACTAGAAAATAATTATCAATAGTCTAGAAAAAGTACCATTCTAATAAATTCATTTGCCTTTTCTCTAATTCTAGCAACCTGTCTCTCATGTGATGGGACATAATTAATATTTTCAAAATACTTAGTGAAAAAACTAATTCAGTGCATGGTGACTTGTTAATGATCACCAATTTTCTTAATTAGTTGGGATTTCAAAGATAGGAAAGAAAACATTGTAATGTCTACACAAACAAAGATTTAATTTCATTTTTCTAATATCATATTTTGAAGACGTAGGCTATATAAATAGACACTTTTTTGTTTTTGTTTTTATTTGCAAGCATACGTATGAGAGAAAACCAGAAGAAAAATATAATTGCTGTATGAAGATGCCCATGTATTAGAGAAATACCTCACCCCTACATTGTCCTACAATCTCTCTAGCCTATATATGCATGAAGAACCATGAATAGTTAAGAAGCCATCTCTAGTGCCACAAAAGCTAAAAGGACTTATTTTTGTCAATCACACACCAAGTTTTAGGTGTGATATACACTAAAAGACTGAAATAGTCTCTATCTTTGATCTCTTCTCCCCAAAGAAAACATTCCTATCCGCAATGTTTAGTTCCTTTTTATCATTTTCTCTCTTTTATCTTCATCTTATGTATAAAATGGGGCAGAAGGAGAAGAAAGCAAGACTCTCTTAATCATTTTTCCAGAAAGAGGCCATAATATTTGCAGTTCCAGATGCACGCCTATGTGCATGCCCACACCCACACATGTACATACTCGCATATACAAAGTCCATGCGCTCTCCCAAACACACGAAACTGCATCAGTATCTTGAAAATCCACCAGTGGATCTGTTTCCCTTGTTTATCAAATGAAAAGTCGGTTCATTTTAAATAAAGTAACTGTAATACTGATATCAAACTAAATTAGTTGAAATTTGTTATGGATACGAAAGAAAATTTGAGAGGACATACGGCTATTACACGAGTAATTCAGCAAAGGCCATGCAGATTTGCTTCCTAGAATGATCAAATTTGTAAGAATCTGAGTCCATTCTTCAGATAATATCTGGAGTTCAGTACTGGGCACATAACAGAGAAGCATTTTCAACTAAAATGAGATCATCTAAAGCTTTACCTAAAATAATGAGGGATCTGGACAACACATCGCATGAGGAAAAATAAAAGGAACTAGAAAGGATTTGTAAGTATAAAGAGTTAGGAGTCACACATGGCTGTCTAAATAGTGAAGTGGCCAACATTATAAAATAGGGTGAGTCATGATGGGATACCTATTGAATAGAACTTTATGATAGAGAAATCTGAGAACTATGGATGAGAATTCCCAACGACAAAACGGCCATTACTGTGAAATTAAAGTGGAGAGCTCCCCAAACATGCATGAATATGCCACAGACTAGGAAATGGCTAAACATAAAATTAGGATCATTTTATGACATTTATCTTAATACAATAATTGCTATAGCAATTATTTCTAGTTGTTATCTTCTTTTGAAATATATTCTCATTGTTCAATAGTGTTGTTTTTATGTTAGTCAACAACATTTCTTGTCTTACTGGGTAAATCTTATATACTCTTTGTGACTTTTATTTCTGCATGGTTTATAATTTTGGTTGCTAGTTTTTAAATGTTTTGTTCTAATCTTTAACTCCGATATTGTAAATAGCTACCATGTTGGACTCCCTCCTATATAGTCACTATTCTTACATTTATTTGGGCTTTCTAGGCCAACAATCGTGTCATCTGGAAATATTCTCCAATACTTCTATTTATATTTTATTCTTCTTACTTTAGTACTCCGACTAGCACATATATATACTATGGAATATTACTCAGCTATAAGAAACAATGATATCCAATGGTTGATTCAAAGTGGATAAATATAGGAGACTTAACATTGAGCAAAGTGAGCCAGACTTTGAAAGATACACACTGTATATCCCCCCTCAATTTGTATCAAGGAACTGCACTCTGTGACATAAATTGAGAGATCTGAAGATAGTAAAGAGGATAAGTATAGATACCAGAGATTGTAAGGGAGGAGAGTGGATGGTAGGAAGGGGGTGGTAGATGGTGTGTGTCAGGTACAAAGGGAAGAAATATTTAAGAGATCCCCCCCAAAAATAAAGTGTTTCTAAATAAACAGTGCCTTGATAGTCTGGATAAGAATTATGTTTTGTGTGGCTAAAATAGTGAGACCTTCTTTGTTTTTTGTTTTGTTTTGTTTTGTTTTGATATTTTTTATTTCATTTTCTTTTAGACATTCAATCACATTATTTAGCTTACAAAGTGAATATTCCTACTTGTGAACATTTCTCCCTTGTCTAGTTGATAAAACTATAAAATTATCTTCAACAGATAATACCACATTTCTTTGTACCTTTACTGTTTTGCCTACTTTCCCTTTAACTTCCTCAGACTCTACTCTTTCACAAACACTGTATCAGGTATTCACATCCATTTACTGTGTTTCTATATCCTTCAGTCAATCAGTTTCTGTCAGAGAGTGTGGACACTCGGTATTGAATAAGAATTTTAAGAATGAGGAAAGAAAACTGAAATTTAGCCTTATTCTCGGTGGTTTTTACATAAAATTTATGTACCAGAGCAACAGAGAGAGAAAAGTACCAATTTAAGATCATCACTAAGGCAGTTAGTTCATATTGTTAGAGAAAATTGATGTTGGTTATACAAAACGAAGGAAAAAACTACAGTGTTTAAAACTGTCCCAAAGGAGAAAAAAATCTGGAGTTATTTTGTGATTCATAATTGTTATAATAATCTAAAGAAGGTCGCACATTAATCTTAGCTACAACTACGGGAAAAAAAAAAAAACCTCCTAAAAAAATAGGAAAATGAATCCAACAGTAAACTACCTAGTGTACGAAAACAACTTATTACAGAATAGGCAAAATCAGCTGCATTATACAAAATCTTAATTCACCAAGTCAAAAGAAAGCAACAATATACCAACAACTTGATATATCCAAAGTAGCTGTTTTTATAGCAATATATATCTGCTTCTGATACAATTTTTAGTAAAATATAAATATTAGAATAGCCAGTGGCATGGTGGTTAAGGCAGCTGGATCCCACATGATTCACCATATACCAAGTTCATTTGCAAACTCCATGAAGGTAGGGACCCTACTGAGTTTTGTTTCTTCGTGTATCTTTAGTAACGCACATATGACTTGGGAACTAACAGACATTAAAGATTACTGGTCCAGAGGGGCATAGTGGTTACATTGCTGATTCCCACATGGTTGACCCTGGTCTGAAGTCCTGGACTCAGTGGCATGAAAATCACACCAAGCACATGTGCATGTGTGCCCAAGATCCAGGAAGAGAATGGAAAAGTGAGTGTGGCATGTCCATCCCCCTGGAAGATGATTTCTCAATTTCCCTCTCACTGTTTCTGTCTTCCCAACACCCCATACAAAACAAGCACTCGTGCCCTAAGGCAAAAACCTCTTTAAAAAACAACAACAAAAAAAATTACTGTTCAAAGCCTGAACTATGAGGTAGTGCGGTTCCCAGTTTTTTCTGTGGTACAAACCTCTAGGATTCCAAGTCTTCTCATGGTGAGAGAGACAGAAATGTCTTCCTTCCCTTCCTTATAACTATTTGAGCATTCCAAATCTGGGTTTATAAGCTGAATCCTCAGAAGCTCTTATTCCAATCTGATCTCCTTTGCAATTGATTATAATTCCCTGCAGATTTTTAAATCAGGTTTTTTTTCATTCTATTAATTTAGATGTATTTATTTGCACTTTTACCTCCTAGTGATTGGAATGAGTACTTAGAAAGGCATTACGCTGCTACTGATTGATTGATTTTTTTACAACATTGCTATAGGCAGACATCAACTTTATTATACACATATAAAAAAACTTTATTCAAATAAATTTAGTGACTTGCCCAAGCTCATACAGCTAGAATGGGGACAGAGTTGAACATAGGCTTTTCATT